ATCTAATAGAAGAAAACAATTTGTTAAAAAATTAGAATTGAGCAAATGGAAGCTAATGACTCTGTGAGAGAGCAAGAATCAGTCAAACAAACACAAAAGAATGAAAAAAAATAGATGAAAATGTAAAATATCTCATTGGTAAAACACGTGACCTGGAAAATCAAGCCAGGAGAGACAATTTAAAAATTATTGGTCTACCTGAAAATCACAATGAAAAAAAAGGCCTGGACAGTATCTTTCAGGAAATCATCAAGGAAAACTGTCCTGAGGTCCTAGAACCAGAAGGTAAAATAGCCATAGAAAGAATCCACCAATCACCTCCTGAAAAAGATCCCAAATTGAAAATGCCAAGGAATATAGCAGCCCAATTCCAAAATTACCAGGTCAAAGAGCAAATACTGCAAGCAGCCAGAAAGAAACAATTTAAATATCATGGAACCACAGTCAGGATTACACAGGACCTTGCAACTTCTACATTAAAAGACCGTAGGGCATGGAATATGATATTCTGTAAGGCAAAGGAGTTTGGATTACAACCAAGGATCAACTACCCAGCGAAAATGAGCATGATCTTTTAGGGGAGGAGATAGATATTCAACGAAATAGGGGACTTCCATACCTTCCTGATAAAAAGACCAGAGCTCAACAGAAAATTTGATCTTCAAATATAAGACTCAAGAGAGACTTAAAAAGGTAAATGGGATAGAAAGTAATAACATGTTATTAATAAGGGCAAACTCTTTACATCCCTACAAGGGAAGATGACACTTGTAACTATTGTTATTACACCATGTTAAAGGGGTGTATATAAAGGGGGTGGGTATAAATTTACTTTGATGTAATGATGAAAAAGATCTAATCAAGTAGGTTAAATGGATCCAAGTAAGTGAATTAATCTGATCTAACTAAGAAAATGCACTGAGAGAAAAGGAAAGGAGGAGGCAGACAAGGGTAAATTACATCACAGGAAAAGGCAAAAAAACCTATTATAGCAGAGGGAAAGAAGGGAGGGAGGTGAGCATTGTTTGAATCTTACTGTCATCAGATTTGGCTTAAGAAAGAAATAACATAACCAGTTAAGTATAGAAATCTAACATACCCTGTAGGCAGTAGGAGGGAAAAGGGGAAAGAAAAGGGAGGGAGCTAATAGAAGGGAGGTGGGACTGAGGGAGGCGGTGGTCAAAAGCAAAACAATAGTGAGGAGGGAAAAGGAGAAAAGAGAAAGAAAAGCAGAAACGGGGGGGGGGGGGGGCAGGGGAAAGGATGAAGAGAAAGACACAGATGGTTATCAAAATTGTGAATGTAATATATGAATGTAATGGAATACTATTGTGCTATAAGAAATGATGAACAGGCAGACTTCAGATAAACCTGGAAAGACTTGGAGAACGTTGTACACAGTGACAGTCACATTGAGTGATGACTGTCTTTGATAAACTTAATCCATCTCAGCAATACAAGGATCTAAGACATCTACCAAAGCCTCATGATGGAAAAAGCTAACCACATCCAAAGAAAGAACTATGGAGTTTGAATGCAGATCAAAGCACACTATCTGCAATTTTTTTCCTCTGTTGTGTTTTGTTTCCTCTTTCTGGTGGTAACTCCTATTAGTTCTAATTCTTACTTATAACATCACTAATGTGAAAATATGTTTAATAAGAATGTATATGTATAGCCTATATTAGATTGTGCACCATCTTGGGGAGGGAGGGAGGGAGGGAGGGGGTGAAAAATTTAAAACTCAAAAGCTTATGGAAGTGATTGTTGATAAATCAAAATAAATTAATGAAAAAATATATACCTAAGTAGACTCCATCATTAAAAACAAACCAAGGGGCGACTAAGTGGCGCAGTGGATAGAGCACCGGCCCTGGATTCAGGAGGACCGGAGTTCAAATCCGGCCTCAGACACATAGCCCTTACTAGCTGTGTGACTCTGGGCAAGTCACTTAACCCCATTGCCTAGCCAAAAAAATAAAATAAAATAAAACAACAACAGCAAAATAAAACAAAAATAATCCACCTCCACTAGACTCTCCATCTCCTCAAGCTATCTGCAAATATTTCCTCCCTTTCTCAGTTAAACTCCTTGAAGAAGTTGACAACCCAGTATCACAGTTATACGATTTCTGTGATACTATTCTCTCTTTCTGTCTCTATGTCTCTGTGTGTGTGTGTCCCTTTCCCCTTCTTTACCCCTTTCTCCCCCTTATCTTCCTACTGTATGACCATTTCTCATTCTCCTTTTCTGGATCATCATTCATGTCCCACATTCTAACTGTGGTCATAGCTCAAGGCTCAATTATAAATCCTCTCCTCTTTTCTATCTCTCTTTATTATAGTATTCTCATCAGCTCCTATGAGTTCTATTATCATCTTCATGCAGATAATTCCCAGATCTGTAGTCCCATATCATCAGCTACCTACTAGTCATTTTGAACTAAATGTTCCATAGTATCTCTTCAACTGATACAAAACAGTACCAGATCTCTCCACTTTTGTACACATAAAAACACTCACTTTTCAGGGGCAACTAGGTGGCACAGTGGCTAGAACACCAACCCTGAAGTCAGGAGGACCTGAGTTCAAATCTGGCCTCAGACCAAAGACTTGACACTTACTAGCTGTGTGACCCTGGGCAAGTCACTTTACCCCAATTGCCTAAAAAAAAAAAAGAGCCACTCACTTTTCTCCTGACTTTTCCTAGTTCTTTCAAGAGCACCACCACCTTTACAGTTTGTAACCTCAGTGTCATCCACAATTCCTTATTCACATTTCACCCCACAGAGCAGATCAGTTGGCCAGTGATACCAGTTGTATCTCAACTCTACCTTTCATATCCTTCTATCCTGCACTCACATGACTGCTGTCCTAATTTAGACACTCATCACTTAGCTCCTAGACTGTTGAAGTAACTTACTAATTAGTTTCTGTGCCTCAAGTTTTTCCCCTTTCCATTCTATCCTCCATTGTAATATTCCTAAAACACAGATCTGACCATGCAACCATGTTAAATACTGCTTTTAAAAAACCAACTATTTTATAGCTATATTTAATAATAACTTTTATAGCTATATTTAATTGCTCCATATGTGTGTGTATTTATATATATATTATATTATATAGTAGATAGATAGATAGATAGATAGATAGATAGATAGATAGATAGATAGTGCTTAAGTATTTTCTTCCCCATTAGAACAAGTTCCTTGAATTCAAGGAATTTTGATTTAGTTTTTGTATCCCCAGTGTCTAACACAGTACCTGGCACATATTAGGCACTTACTTTTGCTTGATTAAAAGTCATCTAATACCACTATTTTAGAGTGTAGGAAGAGTAACAGAGACTTAAGTTTGCACATGTAGCAAGTAACAGAAATATTATTAGAACTCAGGTCCTCTGACTCTGAATTCAGTATTCTTTCTTATTATACTGCTTGTCATGGAATAAATTGCTTTCATGATTGAAGCCATTCATAATCTAGTTTTCAACTACTTTTCCAGTCTTCCTATTAACTCTCTTTACGCACTCTCCATTCAGGTAAAACTCTAAGTGTTCCCCATACACAATATTCTGTCTTCTATTGGGTTATGCTGGTAAAGATTTAACAAACAGCTTCGGGGTGGGAGTAGGGTAGGGATTTACTCACAATACAATTTAAAGTTTAATCTGCATTATTAACGTTTTCACCATTCCTTTCTTAAGTCTAGACAATAAAAAAACAATAAATCAAGCCCTGATTTGTAATGTTGCTGAGGTGTAAATGCTGACAATGAAAATTTAACAGCAGCTCTTACCAGCTATTTGGAGCTGCCTTCAGCGCATCTCTGATTCTCCTACTTTGATTGCATGCCCTTGCTTGAGGTCCTGATATCTGGAGTTCACTCTCTCCTTACCTCAGTCTCATAGAAACGTTCAAAGCACATTTCAGGGGTCACCTCTTACACAAAGCTTTTCCTGACTCCCCACCCCAAATGATTAGTACTCTTGCTTTCTTAAAATTGCTTTATATTTATTTCCTTGCACATATACCTGATTTGCCCCCATCTTCCAGTAGAATTTAAGCTTTTGAACGGCAGTGATAAAATATTTCTTGTTTTTATAACCTTACCACCTAGAACAGTACCTTCCATATATTAGATGCTTAGCAAGTTTGTTGAATTTAATTTTAAATCTTATAATCTAATAGGATAAAACATGTATAAATGTAGAAATGGTGCTGGGATATGGTGCTGCACTGGTTAGCAGACTGAGTAGGCCATCAGTCACCCCTGCATCTCCTGTCGTCTACCCTTAGGTGGACCAAGCTACACCACTCTTTAGGTGGGACTTTCTTTTCAGCTACACCCTGGGGCTCTTTTTCTGGGGGGACTTTTCCTCTTTTCCCAAGAAAAAATCATGAAGGTCCCATTTCAGTATCTGCCCAGCTAGTCATAATCCTCCCTCAGCTACTGCTGATTTTATTCATTGCCCAGAGAAATCATCCATAACCATTAACTTTCTGCACTGGAAAATTTTAAAAATGAATCAGTAATTCTCTCTGTATCTCTCCGTATCTTGTTTCTCTCTCTCCCCCGCTTTCTCTCTCTCCTGCTCTTTTTTCCTCTCTCTCATTCTTCTTCTCCTTCTTGTCCTTCTTTTTACTCCTATTTCTCTCTCCTCCTCTTCCTCTCCTTTTCCCCCTCTCTCACTTAAAACCACAAGGCAATATCATCTTTTGTCACTTAGTGCTCTTGCCCATGCCGGCAAGATAATTCAGATTCTTGGGTATGCAGGAAAGCTATGATTTCATCTTTAGGTTGTTGGAGCTGTATTGGAGTTGTATTATCAGAGGTCCTGACACCTAATGTCTGCTCTCAGGTCAGAGAGCCATAACCCAGCGAAGGTTTAAGATGTATACTATATTAAACATATACTGTTTAAAGATTTGTTTTTGTATTAACATTTTTAATTGTACATTTTCATTTAACTTGTACATTTAATTTTTCCCCCAAAGGTAAAGAGTTTTAAAATTTGGTTATCTTTGCTGCTCATAGAATCATCTATTACTCTCTTACAAGATGCCTTTTGGTGGTGGTTTCTCCATAAATATAAGGTATAGCAATTGCTTTTTATTATCATTTTGAAATGATTCCTAGAAGCTCAAATATTGATTCATTTTTCAACTTTAAAATTTCCTATTTATTTATGTATTTATCTCTTCCTCCCTCTGCTCTCTATTGAAAAAAAATATAGACAACGAAAACTCTCATAACAAATATGCTTTGTCTATCAAAACAAATTCCCCCATTGGCCAGTTCTAAAAATGTTATGTCTCAGTCTGCTTCTTCAGTCTCTCATATCCCTGGCAGGAGGTGGTGATATTTCATCTCCAGTGCCTTGGAGTCCTGGTTTATCATTGCATTGATCAGAGTTTTTAAGTCTTTTAAAGTTTCTTTTCTTTATAATGCTGATGTTATGGGTAAACGTTGTACTCCTTGTTTTGCTCATTTTACTATGCATTAGTTCATGGGGCTCTTCTCAGCTTCCTCTGAATCTAACCATCTTGTCTTTTCTTATGGCACAATAATATTCCTGTACATTAATAGATTATAATTTATTTAGATATTTCTCCAATAGGTAAGTTCCCCATCAGTTTCTACTCTTTTTACTACTATGAAAAGAACTACTATAAATAGTTTTGTAAATATAGGTCATTTTTTTCCTCCTTAAATATTGTTTCTACAAAGGCAGTCCTAACATAAACATTTTTCCTAGATCCCTTCCATAGAGAATAATTCTTTGGTATACTGATGGTAAAAAGTTTTTTTGAAGTATGAAATTCCCCTGAAGGAGTAAAGGTTTTAAATTTGGCATTCAGAAATCCTGCACTCAGCTTTCTAAAAGTAAATCAGAAAAAGATTTGTGAAGCCAAGTAGATTGCTATAAATAAAACAATAGCTCTTCTGCCTTCTAGTTGATGAATCTATTTTGGGATTTTAAATATGTTTTTTCTCCATGAAGAAAGTAAAAAAAAAAAATCACTTCTCCACCTTCATCTGTCAGACTGGGTCCCAAGAAGACGATTCCAGAGGGTGGGAACAGAATCTAAAAGGATTCTTCTGACCCCCTTTGATTAGATCATATAGTTGTAACTCTGTACATTTACTACACAAGTTTAATGAATCATTTTTTTCAAGGATTTAACCTATGAAACACAGGTATTTGGAAGTTCTCTCCCAAGTTTAATAATATTTGCAGATACTGCAGCCTTTCCTATTCTCCCCCATACTCCCAATCAGGTGTTTTGTAAGTGTTCTGAACAGAGATACTAACTCTACCTAGACAGCTAGTATAACCGCTCAGGTACCTATTCTAACAGCCTCCCCTCCCCCAAAATACAGGATGTATGTGGCCTACATTGCTTAGGAAATGTGACCCCATTTGGAGTTTTCTTGGCAAAGATACAGGAGTGGTTCACCATTTCCTCCTCCAGCTCATTTTACAGATGAGGAAACTGAGGCAAACAGGGTTAAGTGACTTGTCTAGGGTGACACAGCTAGTAAGTGTCTGAGGTTGGATCTGAACTCAGGTCTTCCTGACTCCAGGGTTAGCAGCACTGTATCTACTGTGCCATCTAGCTGCCCAATTATTCATTATCAACACAAAAAAAGGCATAATTCACAATATATCTCTTCTATTGTAGTCCCTTTGTTATTTTTTTTTGACAGTGATTAAATCAAGACAAAATGCATATATCCCTGGGGCAGCTATCTCCCACAATGGATAGAATACCTGCCCTGAAGTCAGGAGAACCTGAGTTCAAATCCAGCCTCAGTCCAAACACTTGACACTTACTAGCTGTGTGACCCTGGGCAAGTCACTTAACCCCAACTGCCAAAAAAAAATGCATATATCCATTAGCTATCAGTCAAGCCAAGTGGCACAGTGCATGAGGTGTTGGACTTGGCATCAGGAAGACCTGAGTTAAAATCTTCACACGCAAACTCGCTGTGTGGCCGTGGGGAAGTCACTTAATCTCTTAACCTCTGTCTCATCTGTAAAATGAAGACAATAATTGCACCTACCCTGCAGCTTTGTTGTGCTTTCCCTCGGTTGATTATCTGCATTTTTTCCTTGTTGGTGATTAGTTGTTTCCATGTTATCCCTCCCATTAGACTGTGAGCTCAAGGACTGTCTTTTGCATCCCCAGTGCTAAGCAAAGTGTCTAGCACTTGGAAAATCCTTAATACGTGTTATTTCACTGACCTTGTATGATCATGGGATTTAGAAGGGCACTTAACGTCATAGTCCCCCAGAGTAAAGCTCACCAGTATCATTCAGTACTCTGGATGTGTCTCCCCACAATGAAATGGGGAGGAAATATCATTTCCGACCTAGGTCTGCCAGGCCAGATCCCAGGAAGAGAATCGCAGGTTCAATTCTCTCATTTTGTAAATAGGGTAGTTGAGGCCCAGAAAGGCGAAATGTTTACCAAAAGCTACATATGTGGTAAGGAGCATAGTGGGGTGAAACCCAAGTACTCTGGCTCCAGATTCAGTTCTTGTTCTCCTATACCGTAGCAAACTAGTAAAGTATGCAATCATGCTGTAAAGCAATTTTTGGTGCTTATGTAACATAACATTTTGTCAGATCCCTAAGAGTAAAATAATCCAAAAGAAAGAAAAAAGATCACTCTCCTATACACTTAACTAACTGAAGATAATATTGACTGACTATTTGGGCAAATCAAGTTGTGTCCTAAATCTCTAGTAAATACACACATTTACACACACGCATTTATGTATATATGTGTATATGTGGGCAGCTAGGTAGCATAGTGGATAGAGTGCAGGGCCTTGAGTCAGGAAGACTCATCTTCCTAAGTTCATATCTGGCCTCAGACACTTATTAGCTGTGTGATGCTGGGCAAGTCATTTAACCCTGTGTGCCTCAGTTCCTTGCCTATAAAATGAACTGGTGAAGAAAATGACAAATCACTCCAGTATCTCTCCAAGAAAACCCCAAATAGGGTCATGAAGGGTTGGACATGACTGAAAAGACTGAACAATAGCATGTATGTATATATAATATCTCTTGCCTATGTATGAGGGTATTCTATATGTTGATATAAATAAAAACCTATATCTACACTATAAACACATAACCTATATATTTCTAGTCTATATATTAATAGTATCTCTAGCCTATATGTATGCATATATGTAGTCTATATATTGATGTAGATACAGCTTATATATATATATATATGTATGAAAATGTGTGTATGTAGACTAGCAATAAGACATACTTGATTCATATTTATATATGTACATATACACATACATACACACACTCACACACAGACATGTATACATATACACATACATATATATCTATAAGATTTAGGACATACTTGATTTCCGCAATTAGTCATTACAATACTGTATATAGTATTGATTTTTATTGATATATAGCTATATCAATATTAGTGGGAATAGTGGCATTGGGTTTTTTGTTTGTTTTTTTTTTTGCAGATCTCTTTAATGTCTGGCTTAATAGAAGACCATTTGTTTTCTCAAATCTCCTATATTCAATCTCTTACAATTTATTGTTTCAGTGGAGGAAGATCCAGGCTCACAGAAATATGTAGTTGGAAAAGTGAGGAGTGTTTTTAACAGATAAATGGCATCTTAGTTGTATTAAGAAAATAGTTTTTCCTTTTTGGACCCGTTGAAAAGTACTCAGGGATTCCCAGAAGTGTATGAACCACATTTTGAGAGCTACTGCTCTAGGCAATTCTCTAAGACTATTAGTTGCAGAGAAGGTACAAACTTATGTTGGTAGAGGGAGTTTACTCACTGAGTTATTGCCTCCCCCAAGGAAATCATAAGTTTTGTACGTATCCCTTTTCCTAATCCTCCGCAATATTTCTACTCTGATGACTTATCATGGCACGTGAAGCAAGCTATGGTATTATAGGCCAGACACTCTACTAAGCCCTGGGCATATAAAGAAAGGCAAAAGACAATCTCTACCCTCAAGGAGCTCATAATCTACTGTCTGGCACTTTCTACCCAGCTATAAAGGCTTTAAGTATGATTTGAGCAGCAGATTGTCTGCTGCCCAAAGACCAATGTATATCATCATAAGGAGGCTCATCACCACTAAGTGATGAACTCTTGGGACATGACCCATGAAACAAAAATAAAAGATAGTCTTCTGTCCTATGCTGCCTACTTCTGTTTCCATGCTACTACTCATAGGGAAAAATGTAACAGAGGATACTAAGAATCCTAGTCTTTTTACCATGTATCAAAGTAATGCAACTGATGATGCTGTTTAACTATGAGATCCTTACATCAGACTTCTGACTTCATCATTCAATTGAAACTCCTCTCTCGAGTTACTGGTAAGCTCTTATTTCCCAACTGCAATTGCCTTTTCTAAGTTCTCATTCTTTTTTGATTTCTTTATAGCATTTGACACAGCTCACCACCTTCTCTTCCTCAATACTTTCTTCTCTCTAGGTTCTCATGATGCTATGCTCTCTTGATTCTCCTCCTACCTGTCTAACTGCTCCTCTGTCTTCTATACTGGATCATCATCTAAGAAGTGATGGCATGTGCAATGGTCACACCCCAGTAAAACCATCTCATCAGACAGGCTAAGCCAGGCTGAGAGTAACTGACAAACCTCTTGGCGAATTAGGGGGATATCTACCCCAAGAATGTGAAGACTTCTCCTCCCTACCTCCCACCCCAGCAGAATGGGCAGATGAGATCAATTTGTTCCCACAGCCCCGAAGGCAGCTGAAGCAGGTGCCGTAGAGTGTTTAGAACTTAGTCAGACATCAAAGATGGTAAGGTCATCCACTGCATCCCAGGTAATTGGTGGTCATTTTGATTGTTGTCTTGCCTTCAGTGACTCTGGAAGAGAGATTGAGGCTGATGACTTTGTGCAGCTCTGTGTCACTTAAATCCAATTCACACCCAGCTAAAGACATCACCCATGCTGTCACAGACCCTCTTCAAAAATGAAGGACCACCACCACCACCAACAGCAATCATCCATATCCTATTTCCTAACTGTGGTTATACTCCAAGTTTCTTTCCT